AGCAAAAGAAAAAGATAAAATACATGTGGGTTCACAAGTCAATTTTATCCCCTCACATCGTAATTGCCTCCCAGCCATCACATCAGAACGTTTTCTCCAATCTAGAGAATAAGTGGTCCCTAAATTAAATAGGTGAAATTAAACAGCTACTTGTGTGAGACAGACAAGAAAAGGGTGAGATCTTTGAAGTCCTCTAAATTTTTTGAAGCCAGTTTACATTTTTAGGTGTTTTTTCTGTTTACTCATGTCAAAAGTTCAGTCTCTTAGTTCCTTATCTTAACAGAATGGAACATCTGTTTTTGGCTAATGATCCAAAAGATCCATTCTAATTTTTTTCCTTCACTTAAGAATGTGAAACTTCTATAGAGTTATAATGATATTATAAGGTAGGGAAACACTTTTTACCATAACATGGTATGACTAATGTTTTAATACAGTAATTGGTAATTTAAGTTAAATGTTTTCAGTGCTGATAGCAATGAACTATTTTGCCAATCTCTAACTTCAATTAATGAATTTTACCATATAATCGTCCAAGTTGTACTATTTTAATTGCATAATCACGACTCTAAAATGCACTAAAGAGTCTCAGTCAGACTTCAGGCTCTCAAAAGATGGCAGGATTGAATGGCTGAACTGCAGTATTGGTGAATTACAGTTGTAATAAAAAGGTTGTAATAAAAGGTGATAATCTTTTTATTATCTGTTCCAGGTACAGAAACAGCATTGGTCGCCCTGTTGGATGACCTACTGAGGGAGGCTGACAGGGGTAAAACATTTCTGTTGTTCCTCCTCGACATCTCAGCCACCTTTGATACCGTTGACCACGGTATCCTCCTGAGGAGGCTCTCCAAGCTGGGAATTGGTGGCCTGGCATTTGCCTGGCTCCGATCCTTCTTGGAGGACCGTCCTCAGAGAGTACAGCTTCGGGAGAGGGTTTCGGCCCCGTGGAGCCTCAATTGTGGGGTCCCGCAGGGCTCGATTATCTCCCAAATCTGTTTAATATCTATATGAGGCTGCTGGGTGGGGTTGCCAGGGGGTGCGGGGCATCGTGCCATCAGTATGCTGATGTCATCAGCTCTACATCTCCTTTTCTCCAACCACAGTGGATGCTGTTCTGTCCCTTTAGCCCTGCTTGGAGACTGTACTGCAATGGAGGCAGGAAAATGGGCTGAGGCTGAACCTGGAGAAGACAAAGGTCCTGAGGGTGGGTGGCCCCACCATCAGTGGTTTGGGAAACTCCCTCTTATTGGGGTGGGGTTGACTCTCACTGCAAAGAGTGAGATTCGCAGCTTGGGGATCCATCTGGACCTGGTGCTACCATGGAAACCCAGGTGGTGTCAGTGGTCCGCTCCGCCTATTTCCATCTCTGGAGGATTGCCCAGCTGCATCCCTATCTTGATATTGGGCCGCTCACCACTTTGGTCCATGCACTTGTAATATTGAGATTAGACCACTGTAGTGTGCTCTACGTGGGGCTACCTTTGAGATTGATGCAGAAGCTTCAAATGGTGCAGAATGTGGCGGCCAGACTTCTCAGTGGGGTGAGAAAACATCAATATATCTCTCCCACCCTGGCTGCATTACATTGGCTGCCCGTTCATTTCCATGTTGATTTCAAAGTCTTAATGATTGCATATAAAGCCCTAAACGGTTTAGGACCTCGATATATGGTGGAATGCCTCCTTCCACCTAGATTTACCCGTATCATTCGATCTAGCCAAGAGGTGCGACTGAGGGAGGCCCGGAAAGAAAAAAAAAAAAATCAGGCCTTCACGTCAGTGGCTCCTTGTCTTTGGAATAATCTCCCCTCCGAGATTCGTCTGGCCCCTTCACTAAGTACTTTCAAAAGCCAACTTAAAACCTGGCTATTTAGGCAGGCCTTCCCCCCAGGCACCACTTGATCTATTTTTTTTCTTTTTCTCCCATCTTGAATTATTTATTGTTGTACATTGTTGTTATATTTTAATTGTTTTATTCCACTTCTTGTGAGCCGCCCAGAGTAGTCAAAGACTAGATGGGCGGGATATAAGCATACTGTAATAAATAAATAAATAAATAAATAAATAAATAAATAAATAAATAAATAAATAAATAAATAAATAAATAAATAAATAATGAAAGAAGAGGAGAAAGAACTGAAGGAACAAAATCAAGGATGAAAGGGTTAAAACAGAGATCTGCCTAGTGGAAGAGGGGAAGGAAAAGGAGGAGGAGTTAGAGATTAGCGTGTAGGAGGAGGAGATAAAAGGAGCAACAGACAAACAGGCTTTTTGGATTCCTGCAGGGATAAGAAAGAAGACAAAAGCCGAGATAATGTGAATGATTTATTAAAGGACTTTCCTAACCTTAAAGTGGAACGATTGTTACCTGACCCGCTGCTTAAAGGAGAGAAGGTGTCGATTACCGAAACTTCAGAATAGACGGTGGTCGTCTTCCCGAGAGGACAGTGTCACTGGAAGAAGGTGGTGCGCCCCAGTCCTACTCACAACAAACCACCTCTAGAGGGGGATTGGGCACACCACCCGTGTTGTGGCACAATATGTGCGGTCAGGAGTGCCCCACTGAGGAATCCTACCGACAAAGAACGCTTTGGTCCGGCTCCCCAATATTAAGAAACAGTACCCATTATGGAGAACAGATCAGAGTTAGAAGGACAGTTGCAAGATTTGAATTACAGTGGTGCCTCACATTACGAGAGCTCCATTTTATGACGAAATTGTTTTACGTTGAAGGTTTTGCAATCGCTAAAGCGATTGCAAAACGATGTTTTCTATGGGGAAATTTCGCTTTGCGATGATCGGTTCCCTGCTTCAGGAACCGATTCCCGCAAAGCGATGATTTTTCAAAATGGCCACTGGGTAAAAAACATGGCTCCCCGCTCTTTTCTGGGATGGATTCCTCGCTGCACAGGCAGCGAAAATGGCCACGCTATGGAGAATCTTCCCTGGACGGTGACTTTAAAGCCCCTGTTGCCAGGGTTCTTCATTCATACCCACCTTTCTCATTAGCTTTCTTTTTATTTGCCTCTACCGCCGTCCTTCCAGTCTGGGGAGGGGATGGAAAGAGATTCTCCTCCTCTTCTGTTGCCCTCCCTGGAAAATAAGGGAAGTATGAAGACCCGCTGTCGCCCTTTTCTTTCTTTTTAATCTTTATATGTATTGTTAGGCCAAATGTGGGGAGGTTTCCTATGGCATTCAGAACTGCAAACTCTGTTCTAGCCAACCCGTATATAAAAAAACATGTTTCTAGGAGCATTAATAGTCCCTGCTAAACCCTTTCCCTGTTTTCTGTTTGCAGAGTGTGAAAAATAACCTTCAAAGCATTTTATTTACTGAAAACATTTTGGAATTCTCTTCCTATTTTCTGTTGGTGGCTGCCTCTTCTCTGTAGTAAATGTTTCTGTAGTGAGAGGCAGTATAGTGTAATGCTTTGATGGTTTGACTGGGATTTGGGGGAAGATTCCTGCCCAATTCATGGAAATAGTTAGATGAATTTAAGCCAGTTGCTCTCAACCTGATGTAGTCCAAAAATTTACTGTGAAGCTATAGTGGGTGCCTTGAGCATATTAGATGAAGATTGGATTTATAACCAATGTTGTACTGATTAAATGACCCCTTGTCTGCACAGTATCCCATGACAACATTGCTTGTGAGAATGAGTATTACATTACCAACTCAGAGCCTTTTATTTTATTTTAAGGGAATTATTATTGGCAGTCTTCAACAAAGTGAACCCTGTATGGGGGAGGGGGCCAAAGAGGCATTGATTCTTGGTGTGAGAATAAGGGTTTTATGAGCTTGTGTTTATTTTCATTTGTGAAATGCTAAATCATCCATTGATTTATTTATTTTTATTAGTTAAATTAATCGTGTTTTAATGCATTTCTATGGGCTTTTTAATTTCGCATTACTTTCTACAGCGATTTTGCCGTAATGCGAGGCACCAGTGTATGTCTGTCCTACTGAAGTCATTGTTGATACCCCTGAACCCAAGTTCAATAAATCTGTTAATGGTGTGAATGCATTATTTTCCCACATGAAATTTGGAACTGTCAGGAAATTTAAAGGAACCCAATCACAATGACCCCAAGGACCCCCCCCTCCCAAGTAAAAAATCAGTCTCCACCGTAAGTTTTTTGAAGGGGAAACTTCTATTGACTGTAGCTCTACAACAAAAAGCCACATGGCACCTTTAAAATTAAAAATGTTTACTTGGCACAAGCCTTGCCTTTGGAAAGTTTTCAGATATTTCAGCGGGTCCAAAATTCTGCACTCAGATTGTTAACTGGGGCTGCTTATAAGGGAGCTCCTCTGTTACAGCAGCTCCACTGACTGCCCATCTGTTTCCAGGCTCAATTGAATGTGCTGGTTTTAACCTATGAAGGCCTAATCGAAGAGATCGAATGTCCCTCTATGAGCCTACCAAGGCATTAAGATAATTGGGGGAGTCCTTTTCTGTCCCACCATCCTCACTTGGTGAGGACATGAGAAGGCCTCTGATGTTGCCCCTAGACTTTGGAACTCCCTCCCATGGGAAGCTAGGCTGAACTCATCTTTGCTGTTCCTCCAAAAGCGGGAAAAGACCTTTCTCTTCAGGTGGGCTTTTCCTTAAAGTCTTGAGAGGGTACTTTAAAATGGATTATTGTGCTCTGTTGCTTTTAAGTATTTAGTATTGTTTTTAGTATTGAAGTGTTTACCGTTTTCAATACAATGCTTGTTTATTTTTGAAATATTTGTATACTCACCATTTTTAGCTTTTTAAAATTGTCTTTATAATTATGCAAGCTGCCTTTGGTCATTTTAAAGAGAAAGGCAGGATGAAAATATTTTAAATAAATATATAAATAAAATAGTCCGGTTCTTCAGATGCACAGAGTGCTATACTAAATTATACTGTGGCTAAACGCATTCTACAAACGAAAGCTAAACATACAAGGCAAGCTAGCATTAGAAGGTTCTAGACCGAAAAAAAACTACGATTGGCCTAGTATTTCGAAAGCCCTGTAAGTCCCAAGTTCCACTTTTTATTTTTGCAACAGCCGCTCAGAGTCCCCTCGTACTGTACAGGAGCTGCTCCTTTTACTGACAGTCAAGGGGAGAGCTACGTTGCGCCTCGCCAGCTCCCCGCCCCCTCGTCTCCCCCGCCCTTCCTTTCCTTCCCGTCGGTCTTGGCCTTGAAGAAAGCAGCGCACACTAGACCCTCCCCCGCTCCCGTTTCTTCACGCAGAGACCGCAGATGGCGTCCGGTCCGGCAGGAAGAAGTTTCCCTCTCCTGTCTTCGCTCCTCGTCCTCTTTGGGCTGTCCGCTGGCCAGCCACCCTTTGAGGCCTTCAAGGCGGGACACAGCGCCTCCTCCCTGCCCGCCGCTGCTTCCGTAGCGCCTCTGAGACGGTAAGAGACGGGAATGTAGGTGAGCTAAAGGCCTCCAGGCAGCCTAGGCATCTTTCCCGCTTTCTTCCCGCGGATGGTCTTGGACAGGCCAACTCCGCCTTGACCGTATTTCCCTTCATTGAGTGTTTATGTTTTCAGGGACCTTTCCTTAATCGCTAACTCTGTTGCCAGGGTTCTTCTTTCATACCCACCTTTCTCATTAGCTTTCTTTTTATTTGCCTCTACCGCCGTCCTTCCAGTCTGGGGAGGGGATGGAAAGAGATTCTCCTCCTCTTCTGTTGCCCTCCCTGGAAAATAAGGGAAGTATGAAGACCCGCTGTCGCCCTTTTCTTTCTTTTTAATCTTTATATGTATTGTTAGGCCAAATGTGGGGAGGTTTCCTATGGCATTCAGAACTGCAAACTCTGTTCTAGCCAACCCGTATATAAAAAAACATGTTTCTAGGAGCATTAATAGTCCCTGCTAAACCCTTTCCCTGTTTTCTGTTTGCAGAGTGTGAAAAATAACCTTCAAAGCATTTTATTTACTGAAAACATTTTGGAATTCTCTTCCTGTCTATTTTCTGTTGGTGGCTGCCTCTTCTCTGTAGTAAATGTTTCTGTAGTGAGAGGCAGTATAGTGTAATGCTTTGATGGTTTGACTGGGATTTGGGGGAAGATTCCTGCCCAATTCATGGAAATAGTTAGATGAATTTAAGCCAGTTGCTCTCAACCTGATGTAGTCCAAAAATTTACTGTGAAGCTATAGTGGGTGCCTTGAGCATATTAGATGAAGGTTGGATTTATAACCAATGTTGTACTGATTAAATGACCCCTTGTCTGCACAGTATCCCATGACAACATTGCTTGTGAGAATGAGTATTACATTACCAACTCAGAGCCTTTTATTTTATTTTAAGGGAATTATTATTGGCAGTCTTCAACAAAGTGAACCCTGCAATGCCAAATAGGCATTGATTCTTGGTGTGAGAATAGGGGTTTTATGAGCTTGTGCTTATTTTCATTTGTGAAATGCTAAATCATCCATTGTTTTATTTATTTTTATTAGTTAAATTAATCGTGTTTTAATGCATTTTTATGGGCTTTTTAATTTCGCATTACTTTCTACAGCGATTTTGCCGTAATGCGAGGCACCACTGTATGTCTGTCCTACTGAAGTCATTGTTGATACAACCCGTATATAAAAAAACATGTTTCTAGGAGCATTAATAGTCCCTGCTAAACCCTTTCCCTGTTTTCTGTTTGCAGAGTGTGAAAAATAACCTTCAAAGCATTTTATTTACTGAAAACATTTTGGAATTCTCTTCCTATTTTCTGTTGGTGGCTGCCTCTTCTCTGTAGTGAATGTTTCTGTAGTGAGAGGCAGTATAGTGTAATGCTTTGATGGTTTGACTGGGATTTGGGGGAAGATTCCTGCCCAATTCATGGAAATAGCAGTTTAACACTGTGCCACAGCATTCTGACAGATGGTTCAAGGTCGACACAGCCTTCCATCCTTCTGAGATTGGAAAAATGAGTACCCAGTTCTCTGGGTGGGCAATGTGTAGCCTGTATCAGCATCATCAATGTAGAACTCTCAGAGTGCTTTAAGCACTGTAGGGCGGTATATAAGCAGCACACTTTGTGTATGTGTGTGTAATGCAAAAACAGAAGAAAGGTAGATTAGTTCTTTTATTAGCGTTTAGGCTGGAATCATGTTGAACTCTGAATTCTCTAGACTATCTGAGATTCTTAATATACAAGTATGGTGGACACTTATGTAAGGAAGTTCTGGATATCTTGTAAGAACAAAGTCAGACCATTTGTATTACTTCTCTGTTGCACTAGTTGTTTGCCTGAACATAATTGTAAGATCAGTAGAAGCCAACTCGGATAGTATTTATTTATTTATTTATTTATATACCGCCCCATAGCGCTACAAGCACTCTCCGGGCGGTTTACAATTTTTAATTATACAGGCTACACATTGCCCCCCCAGCAAGATTTGATGGAAAGTTTTCCTCAGAGTCTTGTAACTGAAGCAGTAGGAAATGATCTTCTTTCATCCCTTACTTAAATGGCTAAGTTCAACATTTTAAATACAGATACTTTGAAAACTTTAAAAAACAGAAATTTTGAGAAGATATTATAAGTTGTGACTAAAGCTTCTGTAGTGCTTTTCAGATAATGTTATTTTGTTATCTACAGGTACCTTTTGTACGATGTAAACCCACCAGAAGGTTTTAACCTCCGTAGAGATGTCTATATACGCATTGCCTCTCTTATAAAGACATTGTTGAAAAATGAAGCTTGGGTACTGGTTCTCCCTCCTTGGGGGCGTCTTTATCACTGGCAAAGTCCTGACATTCATCAGATCCGAATTCCTTGGTCAGAATTTTTTGATGTTCCAGGCCTCAGTAAGAATATACCTGTTATTGAGTATGAACAGTTCATTGCAGGTAAATTATACTACAAAATAATCTATAAATATGAATTTTAAATGAAATTTCACAAAAGATTTTCTGTGTGCAATGAGGCATATGTAGATAAAATGTGTCAGATGCAAAGTGGAAGAATTAAAGACTTACCTTTCTCATAATTTCCACATTCTTTTTAGAAAGTAGTTCTATATTTATTTAGCCTGCATTTCTTAGTAAATCAAAGGGCCAATTATTTTAGCAGCTATATGCTAGTTATTACAATGTTAAAAAATACTACTTAATGGTAACATAAAAATGTAGTTCTTATCAAAGTATTTCAAGTAACATGTAGCTGTCTTCTTAATTGCTTCCAGATTGTTTATATTTTTTGAAAAGGCAGTGGCCTTTCTCAGACACCAGTAACTCAAACTGTCTTTTTCCAATAATGACCTTTTTGGTTCATCTAAATATTTAGAAAATTCCTGTTTGATAAGTACAGTGGTGTCTCGCATAATGACGAATCCGCATAGCGATGCAGATTTTGCGATCCCAAAGCGATGTTCTGAATGGCAAAACATTGCATTGTGATGATCGGTAAGTGTTTCGCTTACTGATCTTCGCACCATGATGTTTTTAAAACAGCTGATTGGCTGTTCCAAAATGGCCGCCGGGGAACAATGGCCACCCACAGCTTTTTCGCACGGTTTCCTCGCTTATTGGGGTGGCAAAAATGGCGGATGGATGGAGGATTTCTGCATAGTGGTGAGTTTCCCCCCATAGGAACACATTGAAGGGGTTGCAATGCGTTCCTATGGGTTTTTTTGTTTCAGATAGTGACGATTTCGGATAACGACCATTTATCCGGAACGGATTATCGTCGCTATGCGGGGCACCACTGTAGTTGAAAATTAGTGCAATCAGTTATAGTCCATTTGATACATACAGCATAAAATGAAATACTCATGTGCTTTTTTTGTTATTCAGAATCAGGTGGACCCTTTATTAATCAAGTGTATGTCTTGCAAAATTATGCTGAAGGATGGAAAGAGGGAACTTGGGAAGAAAAAATAGATGAGAGACCATGCATTGATCAACTCACGTATTCAACAGACAGTCAAAATTACTATAGGTAATCCTCCATAACTTTAGTTCTATTAAAATTTAAGTCTAAACTGCTCATGTACTTTTCAGCCCTATTTTCTTGGAGTCCATGGGTGAGTAGGAAAAAAATCTCAAATTTCAGAGTTTTGGGCCATGTTGGGGGACTACATGCATTGCCCATCTCTCTTTTATTTGCTATCTCACCATAGGTTCAACCCTTTGGTCAAATCTATTACAAAGAATCTAATGTTCTAACCTGACAATGCATAGTTTCTTCTCTTGATAAAAAAAGGTTGATGGGCACCTTATCTGTTGTAATTTAAATGTGCAATGAAAGCGTATTTGTTTTGCAGTTCTTTTGATGGGCAAAGTCCTGTTGTGTCTATGCAAATGTGCCAAGTGTTACCCCCAGCAACAATGAATTGTGCAATTCAGTTGTAAAGTTGGTTATATGTCTCCAGTGTAACTGGTTGTGCAATATCCCAACGGAAGTGCCTCATGAATAGCTCTTCTCCTTCAGCATTAACATAGCTACTGTGGGCATAAAGCTGAGTTTTGCCCACAGAGTTACGCAATAAGTATCTGTGCTAGCTGTTAGTAGCCTTTTTTTGTCAACCAGTTTTAAATGCTTTTTAAAATTGGGAATGTTAAATATTATTTCCAACAATATTTTATTGTAAAACAACTAGAGCTCTTTTTAGAGTTGAAAGGTGATACGGAATTTTTTAAGGAAGGCATGTAGATTATCTAAAAGGCACAGTTTACCAAACATACACTGTATAGTTATTGCAGGAAGAGAGCCCACATTTCCATAACAAGCCCTACACCACTTGGAGGGTATCCAATATATCATAGGACAATGTCAGGATTTAAAATAACATGAATAGCTTATAGAACTGGGCCAATAAAGAAAATGACATTTAGCAAGGAAAAATGTAAAATGCTGTTCTGAGGCAAGAAAAATCAGAGGCATAAATATAGGATGCAGGAAAGCTGGTCTGGAAGTAGTACATGTGAAAAGGATTTAGAGGTTGTAGTAGATCACAAGCCAAACATGATTCAACGGTGTGATGCAACAGCAACCCCCCCTCCCAAATGCTATATGAAGGCACATCAGTGGAAGTATTCATGCACTGTTCTAATTGGGCAGGCTTCACCTAGAGTACCATGTCCAGTTCTGAGTGCCACAAGTTAAGAAGGATATCAAGAAGCCAGAATGTATCCAGAGGAGGACAACCAGAATAGTAAGAGGTTTGGAAACCAAGCCCTATGTGGAAAATATCAAGGGAACTTTGGAAAGAGAAGACTGAGAGGTAGTATGATAGCAATCTTCGGGTATTTGAAGGGCGCTACATGAAAGATGGAACAGGCTTGTTTTTTTGTGAGAATAGGACAAATAGTAATGATTTCAGGTTACAAGAAAGGAAATTTCGGTTAAATGTTGGGGAGAACTAACTAATAGAGTCATTCAACTATGGAATCAACAGATATTTAAGCAGCAGCTTAAATTTAAGCAGCCAGCTATCAGGGATACTTTAGCTTTGGATTTCCTGCACTGGCAGGGGGCTAGACTTTATTTATTTATTTATTTATTTATTTATTTATTTATTTATTTATTTAATTAAATGATTTTGCAAGATGGGAAAAATACAAAATAAATCAAATAAAGAGAAAAAAATAAAAAAGGAAAGAGGACAGGAATTAACTGGAAGGGGAGGCCTGCCTATACATCCACGTTTTAGTTGGTTCTTAAAAGTACCCACCGAGGGTGCAGTGCGAATCTCCGGAGGTAGGTTATTCCAGAGGTGAGGAGCCACCGCTGAGAAGGCCCGGTTTCTAGTTCTTTCCTTCCGGGCCTCCCTCGGCGTCAGGCTCCTCAGCCTCACCTCCTGGGTCGCGCAGGTGACACGGGTAGAACTAGTTGGGAGTAAACATTCCGCCAAGTATCGAGGTCCTAAACCATTTAGGGCTTTATATGTAAGCATTAAAACTTTGAAGTCAATGCGGAAACGGATGGGCAGCATGGCCAGAGTAGGAGAGATATGTTGGTATTTTCTCACTCCAGTCTGGCCGCCGCATTCTGCACCACTTGAAGTTTCCGCATCAGCTTCGAAGGAAGCCCCACGTAGAGCGTGTTACAGTAGTCTAATCTAGAAATTACGAGCGCATGTACTAAGGTAGTGATGCAATCCATGGGGTCCCTCTTAGCCCTGCAGTTCTATGAATCTGTGAAAACACTAGTACTCTGTTCAAGCATGCTTTATCCAATACACAAACAAGAGCAAATTTTCTAGGGTTCTTGTATAGAGCCTCCATGCAAGCGTGATCACTTTACATGTGAAGAAAGAAGAATGATTGTGGAAAGTCAAAGAAAAATGTTACTAGTTTGTTTTGTAAAAAACAGACATTTAATGCATTAACAGTCTTGTTGATTTGTATCAGTTTGCATACGCTAACCCTTTAATGGTTTTCATTTTACTTTGTAGAGGTTGGTTCTGGGGTTATGAAGAAACACGGGGCCTTAAGTTGACTTGTTTGTCTGTTCAAGGCTCGACCTCTGTCATAGCTCCTCTGCTTTTGAACATCTCTGCTCGGTGAGTCATGCTCTATTAATTTTTTACTTCGTTGCTTGCAAATTTGCTTTTGACAGAGAATAAATGAAATCTTAAGTCCTCTTTCTCACTGTAGCACTCACTAATATCAGATATTTCTATCTTAGTCCGAAGCACTTAACAATATCAAAAAGGGAGTCTGGAATTTGAGTCATGGCAACTGGACTTCCTTTTAGGTTGAATAGAAAAGAAGTCCAGGTGCCATGATTCAACTTCCAGATAACCTCACCTGGATGACTGACAGTCTTCACAGATGTATCAAAAAGGAGATGTGGAAACAGAATTGAAACTTATCAACCCTCTTGTTTTATCGTGAAAACATTTTATATTCTGCAGTGGAAGCAATTTCACTGTACAGTATTTGTTTGTTGGTCCCACTTCTAGTTTCAGACTATCTCAGTTGCAGAGGGTGTCATGAGAAAAAAGAGTTTTGACTGGTCTAAGAAACACCATTTCCTCCCAAAGCGTGTCATACTACTACAAAAATACTTGTCACGGGCTCTTAGAATAAGTAACTTTCTTATGATAGTAAACTAAAAAATACATCTATGAAGGATCTAAGGGGGTTGTGGGCAGTTATATGTTTTAACTTGCATCTCTTATTCTACCTGGCTAAGGCTGGTCAGAGTTGAAGTCCAGCGACATCTGGAGGGCCATGGGTAGCCTGTGCCATTGAAATAGGTGCTACTGAAATAAATGACTACGTTTTGGGTAGGATCTTGTGAAACATCACAGGATGCTCCCAATGGACAGGAGATGCAGTTTTTGCTGATAGGCCCTTGCTGACCTCTATTTTCTCATCCCAAAGCTATTCTGAAAGGTCAGTGAAATAGAGGAATTTATGCAATCACGTCTTCTCCCACTGTGGAGAGTCTCAAGTAGGCCTTACTCTCTTCCACAACTGGAAAAGACAATTCTGGATCCAAGATGTTGTATTTTAAGTTCATATGATTTAGAATTTTTTCACATTTACTTCTTATTGGAAATGTGTTCTTGAACAAAACTAACACTGTTCATTATTAGATTTATTTAGAAGTTCTGTTTTGTACCTTTGGATTGTAAATTATTTCAAAGTGGTTTAAAAAAAGACATAAAATATGTGTAATTCAGTAAGAGCATAGCTATTGTCTCAGTAAAAAGTGAAAGTACTGAGATTGAACAAACCAGCAGTAAACCAATTGCAGTTGAGTGCAATCTTAAAATAAAAGTCTGCAGAAATATGAATAGGACATTGGCTTACTTCTGTGAGAGTCTGTTCTGATCTGTGGAGAAGACATCCAGGAATGAGTTAATCTCTGTCTTGGCTCAGTCGAGGCAGGAGGAGTAAACTTAGAAATGCTTAACAATTATGCCCCACAAGCTTTTTCCAGTTTTTCTTCCCCAGCCTTAAGCAAAGAAAGAAGGAGTTTTATAAGAAAGTTTGTAAAAAAACCTAGTAAAAGGTACAATAGATTAAGGCAGAGATGAAGTCAGCCACTGGATGTTGGGTCTGGATTTCTCCTCTGCATACCACAATGTAAATTTCACACAGGTAAGCCAGGGCTCCATTCTAAGTCTGTTGAAAGGGATCATCGAGGAATGGTATCTACCTAAGCAAGTTTCAGGTCTGTAGAGAGGGAGGTGTCTGACTCTTCAATCAGAAACTATTTCCTGAAGCACACATTTCCCAAAGGCAGGTGTTGCTGAAGCATATATGTCAATCTCATAGTGTTTTATGAACGTGGAAGAGTGAATCTAAGTAGCCACTCTGCAAATCCACAAAAGCTGCAGAAGTAGTAGTAGAACCCTTGAGGAATGGGGAGCTATGTGGCCAGGCTTAGGGAAGTGAGAGACCTCATATGCTAGAAATATGCAAGTCTTAATCCACTTGGTAAAAACAAAAAGGAGGATATTGTTTCCCAAAGAAGTGGGAAGGAAGGAGACAAAGAGAGATGTATTAATGTTGAGCCTGTGCCACTCCTTATCTAAGGGGTGACTTGGGTTGGGCCAGAAGGAAGGAAATAGTCTTCTGAGACATATAGAAGACAATGTTGGATGTAGGAATGAAGAAAGGGATGTTACAGTGTCAGAATTAAAGAAGCAGAAGTGTTTATCAATAAATAGGAAAGTGGGTTCAGAAGGAAAAGCATCCTTTAAGGCAGTGGTCCCCCACCTTGGGCCTCCAGATGTTCTTGGACTACAAATCCCAGAAGTCTTCACCACCATCGCTGCTGGCCAGGACTTCTGGGAGCTGAAGTTCAAGAGCCTCTGGAGGCCCAAGGTTGGGGACCACTGCTTTAAGGGAAAGAGGTTGAAGAGAGGCAGAACGTAAGAGTTCAAAAGATGGGGTTAGTGAGGACCTTGAGAACCACTTGGAGTCTGAAGAAAAATTGTGTATATTATGCATGCTACTCAGAGGAATTTCTTCACATGTGGATGAGCAGGTAGTGGTTTCCTACCTTCTCTTGTCAAAAGAGGAGCAAGGGATGATGCTTGTCTGTGCAGTGTACTAGAATGAAGATTTGAATCTAAGCCATTCTAAAGGAACTTCAATAACTGTGATATCTGCTGTAGAGTGTGAGCAGCAGAGGACTGCTTACAAGTACAGTAGTTTCATATATCTGCAATGTGGAGGATCTGCACAATGCCAGAAGAGTAGATGTTACATTTTCAGACTGCCCCATGTTCTGAAACTGGGTCTTTTCAATGTTCATGCAGCTAGTTTGAGCCAGGTTGGATTTGAATGAAGAAGAGATTCATGGGTGAGTAGGTTGGGAGTGGCTGGGAGAAATCATGGTTCTTCTGTGGAGAGCTAGAGAAGCCAGGGAAAGTGTCTTAAGACCAGTCAGAAGCCACCAAAACATCTGTGGCCTGTTCGAGCCTAATGTTCTGGAACACTTTCAGTAACAATTGTTGGTGGAAAAGCATAATGTTGACCTGGAGGCAATGCACTGTGTAAAATCTAAAAAAGAAGTTTGAATTTTTGGAGTGCAAACAGGTCTATTAAACATGTCCCAAATTGCTCCTGAATCTGACTGAACACCAAAGTGCTCAGACTCCACTCTCCTGGGTCAACTGTGTGTCTGCTCAGAAAGTCTGCTTTGGTGTTAGTGGTTCTCTCAGTGGCAGAGTGTGATGGTTCAGTAGCTTGCTCCAACATCTTGTCAAAGAACTCATCCACTCTCCTCAGTTTATAAATGGGGGTAACATTTATTGGGGTATTCAAAAACAATCCAGTGTCGACAAAAGCATTCCAAGCATTCTCCCCTTACGACAACAGGTCTGAAGGGGGATTCCAGTTGTCTGCTTTGAAAGGGTTCTTACCCCGGCTGTTCCAGGGCCCGGGCCACTCTGGTGGGGTGTCAGTGTTCAATAGTAATCCCTCCTCTCCTTCCAGTAGGGGGATGGTGTCTTCCTCTCGAACGTCCACACATTCACACTCCCTGGGGGGTTCCCCCGTCTCCCACAGGACTCCAGGAATTTCCTCTGATGGTTCTCCCAAATTCTCCAGCCTAACCTCTCCCTTCGTTCTCTTTCCTCTCTCAACTTTCTCCTCCACTCCTTATTTTTTGTTCACCCCAGTATGATGGTTTGGGGCTTAACTCACGCCCCCTCTGAGCATCCACTTCTTCCCTGGGGACACGCAGTTTCTCTGTCTTTCCTGTCCATGGATCTTCTACCCAGATCCACTCCCAACTCTCCTTCCCCCCATTTTTATCTCCCCTAACCCTGCCTCCACTATCTCCTGCCTTTTTTCTCCCGTGCCCGCTAAGGTAGTCCGGGTTCTGCAATCATTAGTCCTTTCAAATCTCCTTCCAAATTCTCCGGGTCATGACCAGGAGATCTTGTCTTCTGGGGTGGGGGAACTGGTGGGCTCTGGCTCTCTTCCTCAGCGGTTGGCGGGAGGTGGGCAAATCTTTAAAAAGTAAGAAATGGGGAGGGAAGAGAGAAACAAGCAGACCTAAGCACCAAGTGTGGGGAGGAGAGACAACACTTAACAGGATGTAAATTAGACTTGTTTCCTTCCCTCTCTCTGCTGACTCCTGTGTGGTTGGCAGAAGCAGAATAGCCCTGGGAAACTCAACTTCACAGATGCAACTTCACAGCAGATCCATTTGCATCTTTCCAGCTAGTGTAGTCACACTCTTAGTTGAATATGGGAGCAAAAACTTGGTTTCTCCTCACAGCCATGCTGGAGAAAGAAAAAATACGTACAGTGGTGCCTCGCTTAACAATGTTAATTGGTTCAAAAAAAAACATTGCTATGGGAAAACATCGTTAAGTGAAACGCGTTTTCCCATAGAGATGCATTGAAAACCGGTTAATCTGTTCCAATAGGCACAGATTGCTGTCCTTAAGCGAAAAAACCCATAGGAAACATCGTTAAGCGATACAATGTTTCCTTCATTGGAATGCATTGAAGCCTATTTAATGCATTTCAATGGTTTTGCGATGTCCATTTTTGCAAATTTAAGTGTGTCTTAAAAGGTTCAAAAACTGTTTTAAATGCTTGGAATTGTTAGTGCACCTTCTAAAACGTGTGCAAACTTAATTTGGCTTTGATCTGACTTTTTGTTAATTTTTGCTGAATTTTTTCCCCCCACCAACTTTTGACAGCTGTCAAAATTTGACAGCTCCATGCTTTCCTATGGGGGAGAGAAAAATTCACAAAACATTAACCAAGACTCAGAACGAAACCAAACTAGGTTTGCACAGGTTTTGCAAGGTGCTCTAACGAATCCAAGCATTTAAAACAGTTTCTGAGTCTTTGTTAATTTATTGTGAATTTCTTTCTCCCCCATAGGAAACAATGGAGCTGTCAAAAGTTGGGCTCCATTGTTTCCTATGGGGGAG